GGATAGTCATGCTTTCAGACCAAGCCAGTGGCATGAGCTGGATGCAAATTACAAATTTTCAGCAAATTATGGTGAGATTTACTGCAACAGAATGAGTTAAGTTTGAAACTGTTCGTTTTCTCCCTGCATACTCATAGCTGTCACCAAAAAAGGCAAAGCCTGCTGGTGCTGCCTAATTGAGTAGGTATGTGCCAAGTACTCTATTCCATTTATAGCAGAGGTATTTCTATATATTCTATTTTTCTCCACATCAGCTGCCTAACTGTACCTTATTTGCTCTGTGCATTTCAGGGGAGGCTCTGGGTCGCAGTGGGCCGGTGAAGGTGCCGTATGCCCTGTTTGATTCCTACCCTGAGGATTTCCACGTGGAAGGACTGCCTGAGGGGGTGCCCTTCCGCCAGCCCACCACCTTTGGGATCCCCAGACTAGAGAAGATCCTCAGAAATAGACCCAAAATAAAATTTATTATTAAAAAGTAAGGCTCCCATATGTCTTTAATGATCTGTTCGATGAGAATTTAAGTGTAGACCAAAAAATGAAATTGTGTTGCCAAGTTGCTAAATTGCTCTATAAAATACACACTGAATATTTTTATTGAGGAAATATCAGAAAGCTGTTGTGCAAGTGGAACAAGATACAATAATCTCTTTGTTCTGACAGACTCTTAGACTTTGTTGAGAGGAAGAGCAAGTCCATATTTCTTAATCCACCACAATTATCACATCACTGGTTTAGTTCCTACTGCAAGGAGCACTTATGGACTACTCATAAACCTTGCTGGTTGTGTATTGGGAGCTGAGGAATGGAGATTATTTTAATGAGAGCTGTAAGAATTTTCTTTCTTTTTCCTAGAACAGGTTTAGATATTCCTGTGCCAGTGCAGAAACGGTGGCAAGAGAAATTACAAGGACAGATAGTGACAGAACCAGGGAGAAGGGCTTTAAACTGACAGAGAGCAGGGTAAAACTAGATGTTTGGAAGGAATTTTCACTGGGAGGGTGCTGCCCAGAGAAGCTGTGGCTGCCCCATCCCTGGAAGTGTTCAAGGCCAGGTTGATGTGGTTTTGAGCAACCTGATGTAGTAGAAGGTGTCCCTGCTCATTGCTCATAGCAGGGGCAAGGTTTTAGGTTCCTTCCAACCCAAACCAATTTTAAGATTCTGTGAGTCAGGGAAGTTATGGAGCCTCTCAGTCACTGCATCCTTGACTGTTTGGCTGAGGGGACATCACTTAGTTACCATTTTTGAAAATGGGATTTTCTTTAATGTTGATGGTATAATTTTATTGTTGTATGTAAAATGTTCAATCTGTTTGCAGGCCTGAGGTGCTTGAGGCAGCTATCAAAGAAAGTTCTGGTAAAAGCTCACGAGGTGAGTTTTGCAGCTGCTTAAATTTCCAGATAAAAGTTTATTTCAATGGTTAAATGTTAATTATGAGAGCAGCATGGTGTTAATAAATTCCTGAAAGATTTATTCTACATTGCAGTTGCTTGGTTTGTTTGTTTTTAAGATGGGATAAGCACTTAGCAGTTGCAGTTTTAATATAGCTCTAACAAGGCAGTATTATTTTTTTTTAAGTTATTCACAAATAATTGTGCCTCTAATGTATTCTTTACTACATTCCATCAAAATGTAGCCAGTAATGTAGGATTCACAGGAGTTATTCAGGTCTAGAGATAAATTATGTACTCCTAGTATGTAGATCATCTAAATGACACAGGCACCAGAGACAGGAGTGGAAATAGCCAGTAGAAAATTGTGTCAGGCAGGTAGGTCATGGAATAAATGCTCCCATTTTGAAACTGAAACTAGGTCCTCTTTGAAAACTTTGCCAATATTTGTTGTTTTGCAATATTTTCTTTATAGATGAGACTGAAGATTTTGAGCTCTCTATAAATGTTTTCTAAATTAATCCTCTTAGGAAAAAAAAATTCCTCCAGTAATGCCAATACAGCAAGGACCACAGAAAACACAGTGAACACAGCTGAACATATTGAAGACCTAAACATTGTTAAAGTAACCATAAAAGGTGTGTATACTGGCTGGTTTCACATCATGATGCTTGTGCTTATATTCTTCGTGATACCTGCTTAGTTTGATATTTTCCTGCAGTCAGGCTGGTTTGCTGAAATACAAGTGCAGTCAGGAAAGAACACAAGTTAGCTTTTGGTTTTGCTGAGATGTTGAATATTATCTAACACTCATTAATTTAATATCTCACCAGTGACATCTCTAGAATAAGACTATTCTATAAGCCTCCTGTTAAGAAGTATCCACATTTTTATGATGCAATAAATTAAACATTGACTTGCAGTTCTTGGTAACTTCCAGATGTCAGTACTTGAACTGAATTGAATGACCGTGGAGGATGAACTGCTTTGTCTTAACACCAATTACTGCTTTTTTTGTGGCATGCTATGGCCATCTACTGAATGATCACTTTGCTTTTAGCTTTATATACCATTCTATGTTCCTTAAGAAAGTAAAATACAATTTGTTGGTTTAAATTACTTTACAAAATCATCTCAAGACATTTCTGGATTCATCCCTGGAAGTGTTCAGGGCCAGGTTGGATGGGGCTTGGAGCAGCCTGGTCTAGTGGAAGGTGTCCCTGCCCATGGCAGGGGTTTGGAACTGGATGATCTTTAAGGTCTTCTAGGATTCTTCTAGATCTTCTAAACCATTCTAAGATTCTGTAATTTCTTAGCAACCATCTATTTGTGTGTATTTCTACAATTCAGTGTTACTACTAAATGAGGAACAAAACAGTCCCTGTTTAGAAGCTCTTGGGTATACCTGCTTTGAGTAAACATGCAGGGATAAACAAGCTTCAGGGGGGGAAATCTGTGCTTAATTCTCATGCTGTTCTCACAATTTCTTCCAGATAATGAAGATGAGCGAGTGCCAAAAGCAGAAAATGCCAGACAATTGAGAGAGCAAGTAAATGATCTTTTTAGCCGGAAATTTGGTAATTGCTTCTTACTCCCCATTTTTATATAGGTGTGAGTGCAATTAATGTTATTCATACTGCAGTTAGTGAATGAATATTCACTCACAGTCATTAAAATTTGAGAATTGTATAAGAATATTGTGCTTTGACGCCAAAAAGAATCTTTTGTAAGTGATGTAGATAGTTTGGTGTTTTAAACAAAGTCCTAAGGGTCTGGATTGCTTCATGGTTCCCCTTTCCTTTTCCTTTTTTCTGTGTCAGCATGGATGAAGTATTTATTTTGCTGGCAGTCCATGGTTCTTCTCAGGGTTTCATAATCCTGACCTCTTAATATTTGGGATTAGAGTAATTTTTAAAATGCTGTTTAACCCTTTTGCTGTGTATAGTTTTGTCTGGTTTTTTTTACTTTGCATTGTACAGTAGCAATGACCTGGGTCTCCTTATGTGAAATTCCTTCACTTGTGCTGCATTGAATTGCTTTCATAGCATTGCAGGAAATGCTTTGTTTTCCTTCATGTAGCTATCTCCTTTAATATCCTGTTCTCTGAGAGCAGAGTCTGTTCTTCATATGCTGAGCTGTCAGAGTTGGAGCTGTGACCAATGCTCTCATAGTCATGTTCATGAGTGTGATCCAGAGCCTCATTTCTAACACTGTAATTGTTTCATTGTCAAGTGAATTTTCAGAGTTTCAGATCTGATAGAAAGCATGGTTTGAATTTTGTTTCTTAATCCTTTGAGGATTTTCTTACACTTTTTCTTCAGTGTAATCATAAATACCGTGGGTTTGAAAATAAACACGACCTCTCTCCCTTAGGTGAAGCCACTGGTATGAATTTTCCTGTGAAAGTTCCATACAGAAAAATCACCAACAACCCTGGCTGTGTGTTGGTGGATGGAATGCCTCCAGGTGTGGCATTTAAAGCACCCAGTTATCTGGAACTCAGCTCAATGAGGAAGATTTTGGATTCAGCAGAGTCTATCAAGTTCACTGTTGTTAGGTATGTAGTTGCCATTAATTAGATAATGAGTACAGCCCCATAGCTGGAATAAGTGTGAGAGAATAGAAGTTGCAGTGCATCTTTAAATAGATGTTGGTTCTTTTTGGATAACATATCAGGTCAAATGAAGCACAGATGTTCCTAGCATGAATAAAGGAGGAAATGTCTAATTTGGTATGACAAAAGGCATTTTACCAATACTGCATATTACAGCAAGCTATCTTTTGAGTTCAGATCTAATCATAATATGCTAAAAAGTCCTATAGTTTTCTGGGCCTTGCTCTCCCAGTCATAATATCAAGTTTTGAAACAAGTCCAGAGCTCATTGATTTCTATTCAATATTTTAAAATACAATATTGTCCAATTGTAGTATAAGGGAACTTCATCTGTATCTGTATATCTCCATAGACACACACACACACGCACACATATCCAATGTTAATTTGTGTGCATTTAAGCAGAACAGATCAAACTTTGGAGTCATTCTAAGGAGGAGTTGAAAATAAAAATTGATATCAGTTTCTGTAACTTCTCAAATCATAGATGACTTCACAGGAGTTTAAAAGCTTCAGTTTATCCTTAGAGAGAGAAATTTCTTAGATTTTACTAAGGAATCTGAATTTTCAATCCTTAATCATGGCATGTTCTAACCAAAAGGACTTTGATGTGTTTTTAAATTGAACCCTGCAGAGGTGATTCCTTGCTAAGTAGCAGTGACCAAGGGAAGGGTTTAACTCTTCCATACATGTTACTTTTCAAAATGCTAGCTTTGAAGTACCAAAGTCCCCAAGAGCTACTATTTCTTCTGTTTTACTTACCGACCCTTTCATGTTTTAGCATGACCTCTGTTATAGAAGGTGTGGGGAGGTTACATTGGGAGGAAACACCAAGCAGTGCATTTCAGAATCAGTAATTTTTATATTTTTTTCCAGGCCGTTTCCAGGACTTGTGATTAACAATCGTGAGTATTTTTGAGACCTTGATGACAAATGCATTTTTGTAACCTACCAAGTTTCATTTTCTACATTGTGTCTTGGTGGCAGAGGCCCCAAGGTCTGTCTCTGTGTATTTCTCATTAAGATTTCCTGACTAAACATGGGTGTGCAGTTAACTTGAGGGCAGGGGGATAAATTTACATTTAAGCAGCATAAGATTAGCATTGACTTGATATGGAAATGCAAGACTCTGATTTTGTATATTTCAGCTTCAGAGTCCCAAAGAAATTTAGGATCCTGATTGAGCAGCACACTTACATGAGAGTTGCTGTGTTCTAAGTTTAAATCCATCACAGCAGCAGTTAGTAAGAGCTTTCCAGTAGCTGCACAACCTTGTTCAAGTGAAAAAATCTGCATTCTGCTGAAACTATAACATTTCAGAGAGGCAAACTGTAGTTAACTGAAGTGCTATGGCAAATCTGGCCCTCACAATGAAATTGTTTGGGGTAGTGGGAAGGAAAGGTATAGTACTTTGGTTGCTAAAATGATTGTGGAATGGTATTTCCAGAGAATTCAGTTAGAAATGAATGAATCCATTGAGCTGTTGTCAGTTCAGCATAAGTTGTCACTGTGTGTTGGGACTGGGGGAGCAGATTGGCCATGGACCACAGGAGGTTTGGGCATTGGCTGTGTCCCTAATTATGATCAAAATGATCTTACACTGATGGATACCAAGGTGAATGAGTGACAGGCTCACTAATTATGATCAAAATGATCTTACACTGATGGATACCAAGGTGAATGAGTGACAGGCTCACTAATTATGATCAAAATGATCTTACACTGATGGATACCAAGGTGAATGATTGAAAGGCTCTGAGCCAACTGCTTGTGTGATGTTTTATTCTTCATCTAAAGAACATGTGGAAACTTAAAAGGAAAGTTTTGGTGCTTGCAGGCAAGACAGGGAATGCTTTTCCTCTAACAGAAAGAATTGAACTGCATCTCAGTCACAGTGTTAGTGACCTGTTCATGTGAGAAGTTTCAGGATTTGCAGATTCAAAGGTTTTTCTTAGTGTTGCATGTGAACCATTTTCATTGTGAAGTAAAACAATGATCATGTTTAATCTTAGAGCTGCTAGAAGAAGCTGAAGCAGAAGCAGAATCACCAGCAGCACCAGCAGCAGCCACTCCCACAGCAGTATCACCAGGTGATGCAGAGTGACACGTGTCCTTGCAGGAGGGTGGGGTATGGGGTTCTGCATCTCACTAGCAGATATCCTTAGCAGTCATGTCCTAGGTGTGAGGGGCTCATGATGAGCCATTTCATTCTGAGAAATGAATAGCTGTTAACTTTAATAACTGTTAAACTTTAAATAACTTTATTAGCTGTTAAACATTAGTGGAAAGTGACTCTCTTCAAACTGTGTCATTGGTGTGTTCCTTGGCTTGATTTTTACAGATGATGAGTGAGCTGGAAAGGAGGATTAGTGTGGGCAATGTGTAAAGGCAATTTAGCATCCATTTATTAATGTCTGCTTAACTCAAATGTGAGCATGTCTGCATGTACAGCCAAGTGAAGTTTGCCTGCCCAGCTGGCAGAGGGGTCTGGCTGGAGTTTCTGACCTCTGCCAAGCTCTGTAACCGTGCTAGGCTGCATCTGGGACTGCAGTCTTAGTCTGAACAGAGAACTTAGCTTTGGGCTGTGAATTAACTAAGGAAATGTGGTTGGGCAACTTCACTTTGATCCAATACAGCTTTTAAATGTTCATAGCCCTTTTAAAAATGTGCATGCTAAGTTGGTGGAGTGTGGAGGAAACTTCTGCAATTGACTGAATAAATCATTACACAAAGAAGCTGGGAAACCAAGAGAAAGCATCTGATAAACATTTTAAGAGTAAGGGACACTTGTATGATGAAAATTATTATGAAGGAAGCTGCTGGTTCCTCTGTTTCCATGTGGAGGTGTGGGAGGGAGGAGATCAGCTGCTGATGATTTGTGAGCTTGCTCAGTCTGTTGGTCCTTAACATCTGCAGTGTTAAAAAGGATAAATGGTTTTCCCAGAACATGTTCATCTACAATCCATGCAGAGATAGCAAACTCAGCATGGAATTAAAGCACACTTGTCCTCTGTTATGCACCTTCCCACTGTTCCCCAAAGTGCACAGACTTGCCATCACAGACAATGCTTAGGAGAAGTGGGGACTCTTTCTTTAAGCTGTTCCAAATTGGGTGTATTCTGTGCAAATGCACATTATGCTGTTCTGGGTCTTAGTGATATGTCTGCCACAGTGAACCATTCTTAGAAGAGAAAGTGTTGCATAGTTAAATGTAATAAATATTTGGGGATATTTTATATTTTTAAAAGCTACACAAATTTATCTCAGTTAAAGAGATATTAGTCTGATTGTTTAAGAAAAATGAGATGCTTTTTTGAGGGAAAACTTCATTTCCCTAATCTGATTCATCTTGTTGAAACTATATTCATATTCATTTTACTGTATTTTTTTTCATTTAAGAGCCAGCTGAACCAAGCCAAATAGAAGTATCTCTAGGAGGTAAGTGTTTGTCTTCAGTTACTATCAAGAAATATTTTTAAGTAATGCTGAACAAAGTTGCATCTGTTTTTAAAGTCAGGTCAATCAAAACCAAGAAGAGATCTTGTACTGGTTCCAGGCACATGTCCTCATTTATTTATCATGTTGCATGATATTATGATATGCTGCATTAGCAGCAAAAATTACTATTCTAATAATTTTACAAAGGAGTTCTAGGAATTCTTTGTGGTTGGTGAGTCTTGCCTATACATAGGCTCTGAGTGACTTCATATCCTGAATGATGCATTTAGTTATTCAGTGCAGGAGTTTCCACAAGTGATGCTTGCCATCCTCAGGAACTCTGAATGCCACACTGCCCTGGATACACTGTTGGGGGCAAGGGAGTGGAGCATTGTTGTTCTTTTAGCACTTAAACTCTGGAAAACATCCAGCTTTCCTATTGTCCAAGAAAATACTTGAACTGTATCCTTTTCAGATAGAATCACAGACTCATTTAGTTTGGAGAAGCCTTCTAAAAGCATCAGCATTACATTACAGTGGAAATGGTAATTTTCACAGAATCAGATTGCTGTGAATATGCTTTTATTTATTATTATTAGTTTAAAAAGATAATGAATGCTTTTCATGTTTTTATAAATTTTTACTTAGGTAAAACAGTAACAAAATTGGTGGTGAAGTTTTCCACTTTTTCATTCACTGCTAATTTTTTAACAGATAACACAGAAACAAAGGAACAGTTTCAAATAAAACAAGATGAAGACCTGACGTCATAGACCTCATCAATACTGGGTAAAAGAATTTAGTGTTTCTTGAAGTCAACACCTGTCAAGGAATAATATTTTAATGTTTTTGGCTGGGGAAGGGAGAGATGAAGTGTAATGTCACTGTTGAGGTGACACAAAGCAGAGACCACAAGCAGTCTCAGCTGGCAACTCTTTATTATTGAACATGCCTGACTTTTATACACTTTCCATTTGTTTATGCTTCTTCTACCCTAACTATTGGCCACAATAAGTCAACATAACACTATTGGTGAAAAGTTCTAGTGACTTCAACTAACTTTCTAAAAATACTTCATCCAGCTGCAAGGTTCTCTTATCTTTTTTCTCTCGGTCTCCTTGGTTACAGCCTTGGAGAGAGCTCCTTATCAGCCTCTTCTTGCTTCTCAGCTTCTCCTCACTCCTTTAGCTAACAGGCCCACTGTCAGCCCCTTCCACAATGTCATACTGAATGTCAGAAGGTGCCAGTACTTTAGTTGGGAATTATTTTGTGTCTCAGTTCTTACATATAAGATGTCAGGTGTTTTGCACTTTCTTATCCAATATAAAGCACGCTGTGTTCAAATTTCTGAGGAAGTCCTAGAAAAATGTGGCCTAAAATATGTGATTGTAATCACATATCTCGGAAGAAGAGCAAGTGAAAGCTGAGGGAATTTGTGTTTATGTAAAGCTCTGATATGGTTATGTGAAAAAGCATTATTGTTCTTGGTAATGCACATACATTTCCAAATTGTAATTGAGCAGGATAACTCTTCACTATGATTGTCTGAGTATTGTCTGAGCTTGGGACACTCAGTAAAACTATTAACTGTCATGACAAACCAACCTTCTTTAAAAGTTTTCTTTCTTTTCTTTTCTTTTCATAAATGAAACTTTTATGAAAAGCCTACTTTCATTTACAATGCCCAAATGTCCAAATCTTTTTCTTACTCTGTTTTTAATGTCACTTGTTCCTAAAAATTATGTTTTTGTGGTGGTGGAGAGCAATGTTAGCAATGCTATCACATGACCAAATCTACAATGCTGACCCACATGGTTTAGAGTCTCTGTGCTTCATTCAAAGAAAATGGCAGTGCTTCTTTCCATTTCAGCTTTTTTGGTAATAATGAACCCCAAATGTCTTCCTCGTTATGCAGCATTTGATACTTCAGCAATTTGATTTGATTGGTGTAAAGTGAAATGAAGCATTGGCTGGGGGAGCCTGGAGCCTGTGGGTTTCATTCCTGGCACCATCTGAGTTTTTGGAGCTGAGGGACAGCCTGGTACAGCATGAACACAGCCCAGGACAATGAAATGATGTGGTGGAAAGCTGCAGGAGCTGACAAACCAGCACCCCAGCTGTGCCCTGAGCACTGCAGGCACCAATGGTGCTCTTATTAAAGCAGTGAATTCTGTGTTTGTCATAAAACAATCTGGCAGAATAAAATATACTAAAGGAAAAGCTTTGATTCGTCATGGGACACACTGCAGGCAGTGAGAAATAAAAAACCATCTCACTTGTCAATTAAAGGTCACAAAAATGTTTTCCAAGCAATGGCTGCACAATTTGATGCTGCAGCAGTTCAGAGTTTTGGATGCTTTAGGCCATCCACTGAATTTGTGCTAAAATAAATATTTGTTCTAAATTCTGACAAGAGACCACTAGAGCACACATTTAATCTCCTATTTATTGAGAGCAATATTCAGTTTCTGCATGTTTGCTGAATCTGTGTGGCAATAGGACATGAAATGAATGACACACACACACTGAGATGTCCAAGGCAAAAAAGGCACATTTATTACCAGACCTCAATATTCATACAATTCCAAAAGTGACCATGGATTGGAGGATGAAATTGCCACCTCTCCAACCACACTGGTCAAACCAACAGCCCATCAATTCTCTCCTCCTCCAGAAAGGAATGCAAAACAATCATTATTTACACGAAAAGTGCATGAGAAACTCCATTACAAAAGTGTAAAAATCAGAAGGCTTAGAAGAACTTTACAAGAGCAGGGTGGCAAATCTAGGCCTAAAGAACTGGAAAATAGAATACAGACTGCTCATAGTTGTAATAAGGCACAAGACTTCAATTAACTTAATTCTTTAATTTCTCTTACCCAGCCAGAAGCTGCCCGTTCTGAGAAGAGCCTGCTCGGCCTGTCCAGAGCTGTGTAATATAACTGTATAAGAGAAGTATCTTCTATACAAATCCTTTTGTACTATTGTATAGGAATGTCTACTTTTTCAGCAGTTCTGTGAATTGATCTAATATTGACTGTAGATTTGGATTGTATCAGTTTACTTTGGAATATATTTTAAGGACTAAACTTGATGCAGCAATGCTGGGGAGATGGCAGGGATGAAAATCAACAGGGACATAGCTCAGGCTGTATACATTTTCCAATAAAGATTAATTTCACTGTACCTGAATGCATTCTAACTTTTGTAATAAAAAAAAATCCTGCAAAGAGTTCAGTTTGTTTACTTTGGAGAAAAAAACCCTTTACGTGAATTTTCAGATATTACTTTAATGTCTCTTTGGACAACAGTATCTGTATATTTGAATTAATTTTTCCTTTTATATCTATCATATGTTTTTCCTAAATAAAAGATAAAATTATCCACTTGATGGTTAGTGTGCATTAATGAGATAGACTGTGAAATGATCAATATTCCAGTGTGTGGATTGGGAACCAACTGAAATAAAACCCCATAATAGTTTGTACTGTTAATTTAAAGTAGTAAGTCCATGTTATATCAGAGTATCACACAGTTTACATATGATGGGTTTGGTCTTACAGTCCTGCCATGGGCAGTAATTGTGTGGACTTGTGTGAGAGCTTTTCTGCTGAAGGCTGTGGGGGATGCTCTTCTGTTCATCTAGAATTAGCTATGGAAACATGCTACAACCTGCTGTAAGCCCTGTTATGTCAAAAACTCAGAATATTCTGTGAATATAACAAATTAAGTCCTGTGTGGTCCTGGTTATGCACTACAACATGTAAAAACTTTTTTTTTTTTTTTTTAATTTAACAAGCCATAGGAGATGTACAGTTCTGGTTACGTGATAATCTCTAAAAATGCAGATTATTTGCAAAGGTTTCTCTTTTACTGGTGTGAATTTGAGATGATTGCATTATGCACAAATGGTAAGTGATGTTCCCTGATGAAGAAATAAAGACTTTTATGATGTTTTTCAAGACTGTCCATGCAGTTATGTCTTTTACAGCAAATCAAGTCCTAGCAGTAATTCTGTAGGCAGGTAGAGCATGTTTGCAGCATGGTTGTGTCCTGTCAGCAGAGAAGGAAAGTAAGGTCCAGTCCTGCTGTTGAGACTGCAGTCCAGCTCTGGGTGGGTGATGTGATTGGATCTTCAAGGAAAATTCTGAAGCCTTAAATTCAATTGAGTGCAGTGTCTGTTCATGGGAGCGACCTGAAATTCAGCAGGTAAATCCAGAGCAGCACATTTCTGTCATTCTGGAGATAAGGAGGACCCTACAGGACATGTGCTTGTGTTTCACAACATGCAGATCTAGGTGCTCCCACTTGAATACTGGGACCTTGTGCTGGTGATGTCAGCAGGGGCAGGGTTAGCTCCATGCTGAGGCATTTTGGAAAAGCTCATCCTGGTCCTTCCTTCTCTCCAGATGGGAGCTGGTGGTGACTGGTGCCTTCCTGCCTCAGCAGACAGCATGCCCAGCCCCACAGAATGAGCCCACTGCTGCACCTTACCTGCTAACCCAGCCATGTGGGCACTGCCCACATTATAACCACCACCACATTTACCTGCTGCTCACTTTGTCACAGACACATTTTATGAAAAATCCTTTCCTTAGGATTTTTCCTCCTGAGAAGCTGAGAGGCCTCAGGAACAAAATGTAATCATTGATTATCTGCTGCTGTGGAATGCAACAGGTGCATCTGTGATTGGTCTCATAGAGTTGTTTCTAATTAATGGCCAATCACAGTCAGCTGGCTTGGACAGAGATCCGAGCCACAAGCCTTTGTTATCATTCCTTCTTATTCTATTCTTAGCTAGCCTTCTGATGAAATCCTTTATTCTTTTAGTATAGTTTTAATATAATATATATCATAAAATAATAAATCAGCCTTCTGAAACATGGAGTCAGATCCTCTCTCTTCCCTCATCCTCGGACCCCTGTGAGCACGGTCACACACTTGAACAGACCTGCTGAGCCAGTGAACCTCCAGCAGTAGTTCAGGACCAGGTTTCACACTTGCTTCTGGACGTGTTTAGAATGGGGAAATGACATAATGCAGCTTTCCCCAGGTTTCAGCTGGCTTGACTTCCCCTTCTGAAGAAGCACATTGGTTCATCCCTTCTTTACTCACAGCCCTCTTTAGGAGGCACTTTCAGCACAGCCTGCCCAGCTGTCTGCTGCTGGTGGAGTTGTTAGTGCTCCCTCAAAATGAGGGCAGTGTCACAGCAAAGGAGCTGGGAAAATAAATAATTCCAGGGTATTGCCTTGTCAAGTGTGTAACAGCAGAGGGGCTCTACTGAAACTCTGTATGCAGGAGCTGAAAGAGAAATGAAGTGAAAGTGGTTGCAGTGGTGTTGCTGAAAGGACTGGAGTGGGCATTGGCCAGCAGCATGTCCATCTTCAGAGCCATCAGGATTGGCCCTGCTGGACATCTGGCAGCTTTGAGCAGCTTCTCACAGAAGCCACTCCAGAGCCCCCCTGCTACCAAAAACCAGACTGTGCAAAACCGAAAGAACTTGGCTTGTTCAGATGTTCCTCTTCTGAGAATCTTCTTCTAAAATCTTACTTCTTGACACGTATTAGACATGTGAGACATCTGATGGAAGGCTCAGCAGTGTCTCCCACAGAGTTACAGGTGGTGTTTCACTGTGAACTAATCCTTTACAGACAGTGGCATCTAAAACCTCTCATTTCTCACATCGCAGGATGAGGAATGAGGAAACAGGAAGGAACATGTGAATTGAGTGGTTTCCAGAAATGTACTGTGTGTAATGCAGTTTTAAATTTAGTACAAACAATTGTAATTATGAAATTAGCTGTTATGACAAAGTTTATGGTGTTCTGCATGGGCAGCAGTTATCTGGTGACTAACAGAGCAGAATCCAAACAGCTCTGGATGGATCTTTTTTAACATTTGTGGTTGTGTAATATGCAAGGGACTTCCCTTGCATATAGGCAAGTCTCCCTGTTAAAATAATAAGAAACCAAAAGTAAATGACCATTTACTATTCCACAGCTGCAAGTCCCACACCCAAGTTCCAGGAGAGGGCTACAGTTAGTATTGGATGTTTTTAATGTGGCCAGAACAAGCTTTTGTCTTTATAAGCTGACAAGGGCATTGGGCTGATGCTGTGGCAGGGCTTGGTGCTGCTGGTCAGTGGGGAGAGCCCCTGTCAGCTCTGCTGTGGTTTGGGGCTGCTGGGGTTTAGGGGGCAGGGGACAGGGCTGCTCCCTCTGCCTGAGGATCTCTGCTCCTGGCTGAGTGTGGGCTGGGTTTGCTCTAACACCCAGCTCAGGGTGTGAGCTGGCCTGCTGGGGACATTGGCACAGGTTTCAGAGGGGATGGAGCTGAGGGTTCACAGCTGGCTGGAGCTGGGCTCCTCCAAGGGTCCTGTGGAGAGCTCTGTCAGGCACTGCCCAGCTCTGGTGCCACTGTAACTGAGGGTGCCCTTGGTGGGGACAAAAGCACCCCTGGGTGCACCTTTGCTTGTAAGCAGTGTGGAGTTGATCCCTGCAGCTCTCACATCCCTTCAGGTCTTTCTGCGCAGGGCTGAGGATGGAGAAGGACGTGAATGCAGCTGGTGCACTGGCATTTCAGAATGGCTTAGCAGGGGACTCTCCTGCTCTCCCAGCAGGACACAGGGTCTGTCTCCAGCCCACTCTGGGGTTTCTCTGTGCCTGGGTCCCCTCCCATTCAGCCCTGTGCCCAGGTAAGGTGGTGAGCAGGGCTGGGGCTGACTCAGGTCCTTGGGGGCTCCTCAAGGGAACTTTTGGTGGCAGATTTTGAAGAAGCTGCAAGTGACTGAAAGGAAATGGTGATGCAAGGGGAGGGTCTCTTGCACACTGAGCCCGTGGCTGCCCCAGGTTCCCCACCTGCCATTCCCCCACACACAGGAGACAGTGCTGCCATTCCTGGGGCTCAGGGAGTGCATCACATGCTTCATTCAGCTGTTCCAGCTCTGATAGAGAGGGTGAAGGCGCCTCTGGCTGTCACATCCAAGGCACCTGTCCCTGACCCTCTGCTGCAGTACCCTGTGCCATCATGGGGCAGCATCAGCAGTCAGAGGAGTCCTCTGGACACCAGGGCAGCCAGCCTGGCCCTCACCCTTTGTCGCTGTCGAGAGCAGAGACCACAAGCAGTCTCAGTTGGCAACTCTTTATTATTGAACATGCCTGACTTTTATACACTTTCCATTTGTTTATGCTTCTTCTACCCTAGCTATTGCCCACAATAAGTCAACATAACACTATTGGTGAAAAGTTACAGTGACTTCAACTAACTTTCTAAAAATGCTTTGTCCAGCTGCAAAGTTCTCTTATCTTTCTTCTCTTGGTCTCCTTGGTTACAGCCTTGGAGAGAGCTCCTTATCAGCTTCTTCTTCTTCTTGCTTCTTGCTTCTCAGCTTCTCCTTGCTCCTTTAGCTAACAGGCCCACTGTTAGCCGCTTCCACAACCCTTCACTGCCCTCTGATTCCAGAGTCCCTCCAGGTTTTCCCAGAGCTCATTCCTCCCTGGAGCCACTGCGGGGGCTGGGCTGGGAAACACCGGCTCGGTACAAACCACAGCGAGAGAACAACGACGGGTGCGATTGCAGCGGCAGTTCCGCTTCCCCAGGGCTGCAACAGAGAGCAGAGCTGAGCCTGAGCAGAGGGGAGGGGAGAGCACCCAGGCAGGCAGGAGCAGGGTCCGGAGCAGGGTCCGGAGCAGAGCCCTGCGGGCAGCAGCAACAATGGGGGACGCCTTCATCCGGCACATCGAACTGCTGGGCTACGAGAAAAGGTTTTTCCCCAGCCAGCACTATGTGAGTACTCAGCAGCGTTCTGGCTTGTGAGGACTGAGGACTGGTCAGGGTTTTTACAAATTTTCTTAGGTAAATGGGACTGAGAGCCGAAACGCTTCCTTTCAAAGGGGTCATGGGTGATAACGTTAGCTGCAGGCAGCCAGAGACTAAACTGTCCTGAACACACAAGATTCAGGCACCTCCTTTGCAGGCCATTGGCTACTTTGCACTCTTGGAAAGGGCTTTTTCCTCTTTGTTTCTCACCCACCTGCATGTTTCTGTCCCTTCTCCATCCATTGCAACTCCCCTAGTGCCCAGTTTATTTGCTGGCAAGGCAGAGCTACTTGCATTGGGGTGGTGGAAGGAAAACCAATTTTATCTGAAACTGGACCATCCCCAGGGCTCCCTGGGCACAGTGGGGAGTGGTGTCCCTCTTCCCTGCAAAACTGCAGCCTCTGCTTTGCTCCTCAGGTCTACATGTTCCTGGTGAAGTGGAATGACCTCTCCGAAAAGGTCGTCTATCGCCGCTTCACTGAGATATACGAGTTCCACGTGAGTCCTCCCAGGACACATGGGCTTGGGGTGGGGAAAAAGAGGGTGAATGCCATCTGAAACTGCCTCAAAGCAAACCTGGCTCAAAAGAGGCTCCTGGGTCCAGTTCCTGGATCTCTTTTGAAGGTGGGAGCCATTGGCTCTGTGTCCCTGGGCACAGAATGCCAAGGTGTGGGATCCAGCCAAGACATGCTGGTGGCAGCAGGGTGAGCAAAGGAGCCAAGCTGGGGCAGAGTGGGTGTCACAGCGTGTTCCCCTGGTGCAATCCTCACTGTTGTGCCTGGCTCTGCTCTGCAGAAAGCGCTGAAGGAGATGTTCCCCATTGAATCCGGGGACATCAACATAGAGAACCGGATCATCCCGCACTTGCCAGGTAAGGGGCGAGCACCGTGGCTGGGGGTGAATAGAAATTGCAGCTGGCTGGGAAATTCCCTGGTGGCTTGAGCTGTGCTGGCTGCCTCCCGGACAGGTGGGTGGTGCAGTATTTCCTGTACACCAGGCTTGAAATCAAAACCCCAGAAAGATGTGAGCAGTGGCAGTGGTTCATCCCAACACTCAGCAGCCCTGCACACCCCGTCCTTGCTCTCTGAAGGCACCCCAGAAGCAGATCCAGAAGAATCAGCTGTGACCCCTATGACTCCTGGCTGGCTTTGGGGAGGCTGAACTGAGTGGAGCTGAGCTGAGCCCTCTGTTGGTGACACCATCACTGGTGTTGGCTTACTGCCCTTGTGGCAACACAGATACTTTGTAAGAGGAAGCAATGCAATATGTCTTCAATGACAGAGAATGAACTCCTGATCCCAACAGCTGATGTTTTTTCTCTAAGCAAGGTGCATGTCAGAAAACTTCCCCATTTTTTTTTTTAATTTCCTGCTTTAAAGGAAGCAGAAGGGAGACTGAAAAAGAGCTGCAGATGTGGTCAATATCACTGGAGGAAGAGTAAGCCTGCACTATGCAGTGTGGGTGCCAGTCTGGGGGGGCTCCATTGCAGCTGGACTAACACCCACCATGCTGGGCCTCTTCCACCAAGCTGCCCCCCACCATGCTGGGGCTGGTCAAAGCACCCTTATTCCATCTGGGGAACTGAGAGCACTGAGGACCAGACAGATGTCAGACTGCTGGGGGGGCATGGGGTGCCACTGACCACACAGAAGTATCTCCCATCATGTGGTTCAACTTGCTTGGGATCAGGATTGCCAGCAGTATTTTACAGCTCTGGAGTCAAGAACATCATAACCAGTGGGGTGGGAGGATAAATACATCTCCTCTGACTGCAGGCTGGTCCCCTGAGCCCTTCTTGGTGCCCTGGTGCATCTGCTGTATTTCTGGCCCAACAGTTGGGCTGAGTCTGAGCACACATGTAGGAGTTACCCTAAAACTGAAATGGGGTCAAACAGGATCATTGCTGGGCTTGCAAGAGCTGTGCCCCCACAAAGCTTCACCTTATTGGCACAATGCAGCCATGCAGCACCTCAGGGCCAGACCCACTTGTTTGCAGGGCAGAATTAACGATTCAGAGCAGTGTGCTTGGGAAAGTATTAAGAACAAGGCGTTCTGTCTGCTTTTTCTGAGCACTTTTCCCTCTCCCCCAGCCCCAAAGTGGTTTGATGGGCAGCGCTCAACCCAGAACAGGCAGGGCACACTGGCTGAGTACTGTTACACGCTGGTGAACCTGCCCCACAAGATCTCCCGGTGCCTGCACGTGGTCAACTTCTTCAAAGTCCGTCACGATGACATGAACCCTGTCACAGACAGCCAGTGAGTCCTGCTGCCTGCTATTTTGAGGAAATCCTGCATTCCTGGCCTTGGATGCTGGCAGGAGCCTGCAGGGAGGGTGCTGATGGATAGGGCTGGTTGGCACTGAGCTGCCTTTGCTCTGACCTGTCTAGGATCAAGAAGCCTGAGGTGTTCCTTCTGCCAAAGGATTCCAAGAAAAACCTCACTGGTAAGAGGGCTGCGAAGTGGCTGCCTCAACAGCAGCAAAGCCTGCTGTGGAGAGAGCATCTCCACATCTGTCATTCCGTGGCAGATTCCCTCACTAAGAACACGGTTGCTATACCAGAGCTGCAGCTGCAGTGAAACCAAATCCTTGGGGGGGAAAAAAGAAACGGCCCGAAAAACAAATGATTTGGGGCTGAAAGAGGCTGGGAGGGCACTTTGGGCTGTCCTGGGGCTGCTTTTGGCCTGTCTGGAACAGGGCTGGGGGCTGGAGGAGGGAACATGTGTCACTTCTCTCATGCAGACATCACGGGCCCCATTGTCCTGCAAACGTACCGAGCCATCGCCGACTATGAGAAGAGCTCCACATCTGAGATGGCTCTCAAGGCTGGGGACATGGTGGATGTCGTGGAGAAGAGTGAGAATGGTATGTGTCCATCCCCCTGGAGAGCCCCTGAGGGCCAGCCCAGTCCCTGCTGCAATTTCAGCAGGAATGAGCACTGCCCTTGCCTCCAAACACAGCATGTGAGCTAGCTATGGCAGTGAGGACTGAGGGGCAGTTCTAGAAAATTCTGCAACACCCTGGCCATGCCCCAGCCTGTGAGGATTCCTGCCCACAGGAGCAGGATCAAGTGGTCAAGTTCTCTGGTTGCACCATGTCAATTGGCCCCAGCACTGTCCCTTTGGTCTGGGACACAGAGATGCCTGCACCTGCCCTGGCCAGGACAGACCTGGTGCCAGTCCCCAAGCACTCTCTGCTCTTGCCCATGGCTGCTTTCTTTGCAGGCTGGTGGTTTTGTCAGCTGAAGAATAAACGAGGCTGGGTACCTGCTGCCTATCTGGAGCCACTGGATGGTCCTGATGAGTCTGAAGAGCAGGAGCCTAATTATGCAGGTAAAATGTTGGTGTGACCAGGGTGTGTGTGTGTCAGAGCACAGCCTGCTGCAGCTCTCCACTGTGATGGCTCACTGCAAAGCTGGGCAATTCAGACTGAGCAGGATCACTGGGCATGGAGATGCTGCTGTAGGAACTGCCAGGAGGGATAAATCTCATGGCTTGCTGCCTCAGTGTCAACCTTGGGAGCTTCCCATGACCTGCAACTCAGCATTAGATTTGTGTTTTGGCTGATCCATACCCAGAGGCCATGCTGAGCTGGCTGGATGAAGGCTGAGGTGCTGGGTTAGCAGAACAGCATGGTGCAGCATCCAAATCAGGCACAGGAATTCACAGTGCTTTGCCTGTGTGCTGTCCTAATCAGGGCCTGGCCCTGCTCCCTGTCCCCTCACTGCCCTGCCATGACAGCAGGGTTTATCACATGGAGCAGAGGAAGGATCCTGCAGACTTGTGCCAATTGCTCAACAGGCTTCAGCTTTGGGGGTTTCACAACACTGGAAAAGGCTCTATTAGCACAACACTTCCTTCTGCCTTTTTTCACCACCTGAATTCTGAGCACAGTTTTGAGCAGAGATAGAAGTGCTTCCTCTGCTTGCACCCAAAAGTTTTCTTATGGAGAGATGTTGAAGGGACCAGGATGAGCCATGCATGGGCAATGACAAGACTGGAGGAAGTCTGAATCCAAACCTGAGGTACCCTGAGTCTTGCCTAAAATTAGGGTGCCTCCTAATGCTCTGGTGCCCCCTCAGTGGCTGGGGAGGTTCAGCCCCATCCCTGAGGTGTCAGCACATGACCCACCATCCCCATTTTGTGTGTAGGTGAAGCGTATGTGGTCCAGAAAAGCTACACTGCTGTGGAGGAGGATGAGCTGACCCTCAAGGAGGGTGACACCATTGAAGTCATCCACAAGCTCCTGGATGGCTGGTGGGTCATCAGGTGAGAGATGCCATGAAGAGCTCGGGTGAGCAGCACTCAGGGAGAGAGAAGGGACATCCATGGTGCTCCACATCAGGGCTCTGAAAGCCTTGGTGCCTTTGGTGCCACTGCCCAGCACTTCCTTTGGCAGGGCTGCTCCTCAGACCCTGTTCTTTGCCAAATATTAAACATTTCAGCTGGAAATTCCTCTACTGAGGGCTTCAGAAATATCCAATGAGGTAGCAGATGGAAAAAAACCATGTATCTGTTATTTTGCCTCTACTTGTTCTGGCACATTTTGCTTTGCAAAACCTCAACTTTCACCCCAGCTGCAAGGAACATTTAAGGTAACATGGCACCAGCAAGGGACAGGCCTGAACCACAATTCATGGAATGTCCTGAGTGGGAAGAGTTCAAGGCCAGGCTGGATGGAGCTTGGAATAACCTATTCTAGGGGAAAGTGTCCCTCCCTACCTGTGGCAGGGGTTTGGAATGAAGTCCTTCAAGGTCCCTTCTAACCAATCCATGCTGGGACTCTGTGACCACCCACGAGAATGATCCAGTCTCTCTCCTGGGCTGAGGAGGTGGTTGCAGAGCCATGACTGCAAGTGATGTTGCTTTGTGTTGCAGGAAGGATGAAACCACAGGTTATTACCCCTCCATGTACCTGCAGCAAGCTGGGGAGGTGAACACCTCTGCGAAGAGCGAGCTGAGGAACCGGGGTGCTCCTCCACGGAGGTAGGAGAAGCTCTGTGCAGAGGGCAGAAGAACATCTCCCTCTTCATTCAGGGAGATGAAATTAAACCAGACAGGTGTTGTGGTGTCACCTGCTTGCCCTGTCAGTGAGGAACAGCCTGGAGAAATGTGAGCAGGGCACAGACAGAGCAGGGCTGTCCTCCCACCAGCTCTGTGCTCCCCAACACCACAGGCACTGCTCATGCAGGGCTCCAGGACCCTTGCTCCAACAGGGCCACCCATCAGGTGTATTTCTCCTTGTCCTTCTGTAAAGTTATTTTCTGGGCTAATCTTGTTTAAGTTTCAAATTGGCTGTTTTCTTACTTCCTAAGTGTGTGCACTGAATCTTTCAGAGGCAAGGAGAGATTGGACTAAATTGAGCTGCCAAGTGGCCTAATCTAATGGGAGGATTTGAGTTAATGCAAGGGGTTTTATTTTGATTAAAAAGATAAAAAGCACAAATAACTCATGAATTCCAGTGCAAAGAGAATGGCTAAAAAGGGCAGAATTTGCTGCTCTTTTCTCTGCAAGATGACACATCAGGCCTGCTATGAAATCTCTCCAAATCAAATTTTGCTGGAGCATGGATTGAGAGTAACAGTGTAAAATGGTCCAGATCCACCTGTTTGGCCACAGAGTTGTTTGCTGGTAGCCTTGGGGGAGGTGAGGTGGTCTGTTCCAAGGACAGTGGCTTGTCCCCCTGCCATTGTGACTGCTGCCCCCGTGGCAGTGGCAGCCAGGCCAAGCCTGTTGTGAATGTGGTGACCTGTTATGGGCACAAACTTTGCTATGGCATGGGGGATGTGCTCACACCAGCACGGGGCTGAAGGCAGAGAGGCACATTTCTTGAGAAGAGCAGGAGGACGATGCCATGGGGTGGTCATCAGGAGCCACCTCACTCCTGCCATGGTACTGGAGACAAAGCAGGGCCCTGTCTGCCTGCCCAGGGACAGTCCCCAGTGCTGGGGTTTCCCCTGCAGCAGCCTCAGGCTGCTCAGCCTTTCACTTCTCTCAGGAGCTTCTCTCCTGTGGGTTGAACACTGCACATCTGGGTGCACACTGACACATGCCCCATTCTCCTTTCCCCTGTATCTCACCCTTGAGCCTTGGGGAGCTGTGCCAAGCTTGGAGATTGAACACTGCACATCTGAGTGCACACTGACACATGCCCCATTCTCCTTTCCCCTATATCTCACCCTTGAGCCTTGGGGAGCCATGCCAAGCCCCACACCAGGGACCTGAATTTGGTGCCCAGGATAGGTCCTGTATGTTCATTCACCAAAGATCATTTCTGAGGCTCTCTTGGATAACCCTCATGCCCATCTCATCCTTCCAGCCATATCTTCCTCACAATCCCTATCATTACTTTCCAGACTTGTGCTCAGTGTTTGCTTGCAGAGCCCCATCCAGCTGCCTCTGCACACATCATGGATTGTGGCTCACTGATGGCTGCCCCCAACGGCTGGCATCCACCAGGCAGAGCCCAAAAGCAGAAACTGGGGTTTGGGTGAAGCAGAGGAGGAAGTGTGGGGAAAGGAGGTGTGTGGTGTGACAGCTGCCAGCATGAAAACTGGAAGTTTTTTTCTCACTCTTTGCAGATCCACCATCCGAAATGTGAAGAGCATCCACAAGCAGGGCCGGAAGCAAATCAGCCAGGAGACCTACAGGAGGAACAGCAAGAAGTACATCCAGAACCAGAGGAAAATGCGGGGAAATTCCCAGAGCAAGGCCAATGTCATCAGTAAGTCTCAGTGGAACTGGAATCCTGCAGCATGACCCGTGCCTCCACCAGTGCTGGCAGCTGGAGCAGGATGGCACACTGAGGTCACACCATGCCCATGGGGAATGTCTGTGCAGGAGGTGTTTCTTTCAAGGGGTTTTCTTACCCCTGGCTATAGGTCAGACAGAGCAGGATATGGTCCTGGAAGGAGGTCAGCCCACATTTGGGACCTGTGCTTTCCTTTGTGCACCCAACCTCCCCCATGCTGCCATTACCACTGCAACTGCCATGCGCGTTAGCTGTCAGCAGAGCCCCCACAAGGAAGTGTTACATGAAGAATCATAGAATTATAGAATTTGGTTTTGGTAGGAAGGGACCTTAAAGACCAATTCATTCAAAGCTTCCACTTGATCAGGTTGATCCAAGCCTCATCCAACCTAGCCTTGAACAATTCCAGGCACAAGGCAGAACAGTTGCTTTGGACAACCTGTGCCTCATTACCTTCACAGAAAAGAATTTTTTCCTAATATTTAATCTAACCCTGGCCTCTGACAGTGTGAAGCCACTTCCCCTTGTCCTACCAGTTCAGGCCCTTGTAAAGAGCATCTCTTCATGAAGGAGAGAGGCAGTCACTGAGGCATACCCTTTAGATCTGCTAGTCCCCATGCAGTATCTGTGACCTTCCCAGAGCTAAAGATGGGCAGACCTCATGCAGACCTCATGCAGACAGGCTTTCCCTGAGCACAGCTCCCAGCTGGGCACTGGTGGGCACATCCTGACACCATGACCTGCAGGAAGGCCCATACATGGAGCATGGACAGGAGGAGAGGCAGGAGCTTTGGTGGCAGTGATGTAGGAAGCTGCTGATTGTTCGTGAGGGTGGTGTGTGGTGCAGAGCTCTGACCCATCTGTACACCTTTTTTACTTGCAGTCGAGAAAAATGAGCCAGAGGACAACAAGCCCAAGGCTCAACCTGCTGTTCCTCCCCGTCCCAGCAAGGACCTCATCCTGAACCGCTGCACTGAGAGCACGTGGAGGAAGATCCTGTGAGGATCCTGTGAGCCCCCACACCAGCCCAGCCGCCCAAAGCTTCATCTCCTGCGGCTCCTGTGCAGCTGGGGCTCGGAGCTGGAGCAGGGATCCAGGTGGCTCTGGCAGCCACCTCAGGCCAGGGAGGCTGTGGCCATGTCAGCCCAGCCCAGTGCCCATCCTCATCCTCCACCTCAGCCAGCCCACGGTGTGCTGATAGCACTTTGAGGAGGGACCAGCCCTGCTCTACCAGCTCCTCACAAGCACCAAGTCCTCATCTCTACATGCCCTTCTGTTCCCTCTTTGTATTTTGAATTATTTTTGTGGTTTTCAACAATAAAGGAGAGACACTTGATAGACCCTGAGGAGCAGTGTGGGCATGGTGGCAGGAAAGATGTTCCTCCTGTTATAAATGAGAAGCTTGACTAGGCCAATATTCAAGCAGCAATCAATTTATTAATTAATACAGTAAAGTATGAGCAATACAGAGCTGGGTACAGTGGGAGAAGTTTTCCCTCCAACTGCACACCGATAGTTCAGGTTTACAGGTATTTATAGGGGTACTCATCAGCTTTCTCAGCAGTTTCTATTCCAATTTTTACTCATGAGCAGTTTCTATTCCCAATTTTTAGGTCACAATTCTATACACTGTTGTGGTTTAGTTTTTCTCAGGATGTTTCCCAAAAGGAGTATCCCCAGATGGTGGTGGTCCAGTTTCCGAAAGAAGAAAGACAAATCCCATCTGGTGAAGTCCAGCTCCCCAGATGTGGGTCCAACTTTAATTGCAAGGACTATAAATCTCATAACAGTGATGTCCAACTTCCCTTGGTCGAAACTATAAATCCTTGAGTTGATGTTCATGTTCCTTTCTCAAGCTGTTTTTCTCTGCTTTGTTAGAGCCTGAGATAAGCATGTTTCCTTTATATATATTCCAAAGCTACAGTTTCAAGGATACAAGCAATATTCTAAAATTATACTTCAAAAGGTTATTATTGCAAAATTCTTTAAGGCTTAACTACCAGCAAAGAGCAACATCCTTAATGCTTTAATTCAAATGCTTCTGAATCAGCTAAGGTTAATTGCAAACAAAAGATAGGTTCAAAGGCCTTCTTCCATGCTTTACTTTCCTCAGTTATTATTAGAATTCGTCTTTATAACTGTCCCATGGTCAGTCTCAACACATACTGCAATCACAAATACACACATTGCTTGTGTGTCCCTGACACAAAACACTGTTACATGGCTTTGCATGGGTCTTTAGGGATGAAGAGACAGACGAGAATCTTGGTCTCATGATCAGAAGGCTGGATTTATTATTTTATGATATATAATATATTATGACTATACTAAAAGGAATAGAGAGAAAAGTTCAGAAGCTGCTAAGCTGAGAATAGAATAGGAATGAATAACAACGAAGCTCTCTCTGATCTGCCTCAGAGAAAGGCCTATCTTTGATTGGCCCTTAATTGTACACAAGCAACATGGACCAATCACAAGTGCACCCGTTACATTCCAGCAGCAAATAACAATTGTTTACATTCTTCTTCTGGGGCCTCAGCTTCCCAGAAGGGGAAAAATCCTAAAGAAAGGATTTTTTATGAAAAGATGTCGGTGACAAAACACAGCTTTGTATTTCACAGTCCAGGTGGAGACTGGGCAAGGCACTCTTGATGATATGAGGGCAGTGAGGAAATTTATCTGGGAGGATAAAAGGACAGCAGCTTCCTCCTAGAAAGCGGCTGCTGGCTCCCTCGAGAGGACAGCGAGGGCTCAGTGCTGAGACAGGGCTGCCTCTCACACGGAGTTTTGGTTACTGCCCCAGCCAGCCCCGCCATCGCTGTGCCAGCCAGGGCTGCCTTTATTTGGGATGGCGCTGGGTGGACCTGTAGGTTTGTGCCTGGGTGTTTTAGTTTTGGCTGGGTCTAAACCCACACTGGGCTCTGGGGATGTGTTTATGTGAAAAACACATGTATTTTATGATTGGCTTTTCGCAAATATGAAAATGAATATGTGTTGTGTTAGAAAGTAACGCTGTATTAATTCTCTCAGGTACTGCGTTAAATATAGTTTTAGGCTATAGAAATTGCTAAAACAGAAACGATGCTGTGTAAGATACTTTTTTAAAAGAAAGGACTCGCAGTGAGATAGCAGCCACAGGACACTTAAATCTTTCAGAGGAAGAGAATTTATTGCCTTCTTATCAGAAGAAACGAACTTCTTTCTGCCTCGAAGGAGCTGTTAAGATTAGAGGGAAGAAGTTGATGAACACTAGACAGAATTTTGTGTTTGTGAATGGAATTTATGCATTATGTATGAAGTGTATGAATATGCAACAGACCATTGTTCTTAAGGGTTAATCTTTTGTTAACGGGTGTCTTTTTTCGGGCTCGTGATGTCTAGAAAGAGGTACTCAGACGTCTGTAACATTTTGCTTTTATTGTTTCATATTGTCTTAATTCAATTTGTCTAAATCGTTATTACTCTAATTGTGTTACTATTCTTTTAAACTATTTTATTACTATTAAACTTTTAAAAAATTTAAAAACAAGTGATTAGCGTTTTTCACATTAGATTTAGGCTTAGGTCGGGGTGTATGTTTAGGCGTGACTTTGGGCCGGGCTGTAGGCTCACGCCTGGCTCTAAGCTCAGACGTATTTCAGGGTCCGGGCGGGTGCGGGCGCTCCCCTCAGAGGGCGGTGCGGCCCCTTTAAGAGACGCGCGCCGCGGTCTCAGCCCACACTGGGCTCTGGGGCTGTGTTTAGATTTAGGCCTA